ACACTAAAAATAGGGTTATAGGTAGTTTTAAATTCTTTTTCTTATAGCCAGAAATTGCTAATATTTTGTAATAAAACTTTATTTTCTATTTAATTGAAAAAGTGTAAAAATTAAAATCATATGTACTATATAGCAGCAATGGGGTACTCCATATTTGCTTGTAAGAATGTTTGTTCAGGAAACAATACTGAATGAAAGCAATGATTTCAGCATCAGAATATTCTTAGCAGCTTTGGTTTCAATGAGGAAACACCAGAAACAACAAACACCCAAATCTATCAAAATTGGAGGAGAGATGAAGGTGAAATCTATTGAAATAGATCCATGGCATAGATCAAAAGGTTGGCAATTATTATATATGGATAGGAGAATGATTATTGATTTTTATTTTTCCTATGAATGTTATTTGATTTCTTTTAAAAGTGAAGTTTCATTATTTGAATAACAAAACAAAACTTTTAAAAAAATTAAAAAGAAAAACAAAAAATGAGATATGGTCCTCATAGCATTATATTGGCAAAAAAAAAAAAAAAAAAAAAAAAACCACCCAAAGTTTAAAATATCCAAAGAGATACTTGTGCAGGAAATGGACATTCCCTAAAGTACTAGTGGAAATATAAATTGGTGTATTCAGGCTACTTGATAATATAGTTAAAGAATATTAAAAGGTTTCTACTTTTCAACACCCCTTTTAAGTATTTATCTTAAGTAAATAATACAAGAATGCTGCTGCAGAATTATTTACCACAGATTCATGTTTCTGGGAAAAATTTAGAAACTACTTTTTAAAGCCCAACGTGAAGAAACACTTAAAAAAACAATTCTGATCCACTTATACAATGGCAGTGAGTTGCAGGAGAATATTTAGTAGCAAAGGATGTTTTAGATGTATTTACAATATACTTAAATAAAAATTTTGACAGAATACTTTCACTATGAACACAGAATATACATTTAGTATAGAATATATTCAGTATGATTTTATAATGGTTTCAAAATTTACAAAAGGCAAAGCCTGCAAAGGCATAATCTCTTTAAAGTGGCTATTGTGCATATATAATATGTGTGTCTTTTTAAAGTAACGCACTTGTAAAACGAAATAATTTTTTAAAACTACAAGCCTAAATAATTTCCCATAACTTAAAAAAATACTAACTTAAGGAGATGGTAAAGGAAATATGCATTCTCTTACGCTGTTGGAGGGCATAAACTTTGTGGACGAAGCATTTGGTAGCAGAGAGCAAGGTATATAAGGCAATTAAATATTTCTTGATGTCAGCAAACATTCAGCTCCAAATGTGTTATGGAAAAGTCATAGCCATTTAAAAAAATATATCGAGGGGCAGGATTTTGGAAATTATAGTTCATCTGTAAAATGAAACACCAATTAAAAATAAAATTATAGGAGACTATTAAAGAATTTGGAAAGATGGTAAGTAAAATTTCTTATGCTGAAAATATACCATAATGAAACATACATCCTATATTACATTTTTGGAGGTATTAGTTATTTTCATGTATGTCTCAAATGCTTCAAAAGTTTTTTCTATTTTCGTCAAGTGGTAGAATCAAGAATGATTTTCAACTTTAGAATATTTTAAAAAATGCTTTTAGTTGATAATGTATTGTCTGCATAAAGATGAATGTTTAAAACAAATAGAAACAAAAAATCTCAAATTATAAGTAATTTAATATCAAGTCTCAAAAACTGTACAGGTATCCAGGTACACTCACAATATCTGCGTAGTTTATGAGGGTAAATTGGTACTATCTTTATCGATGGTCTCTTACTAAAGAAGGAAAAAAAAAAGATTTTAAGCCTCCCAATCTTTTCATCCTTCAATTATACTATGAACGTTTGTTCAGGAAATAAACATGAATGTAATGTTTGTGCACTGTGATCCTGTTGGCAGCTTTGGCTTGTGTAAGAAAACAAAATGAAACAACCCAGATGTCCAACAATTACTTAAAACAAATATATCCCTATATCTATATCTAATATGTACATATATCTATCACTCTATCCAGCCCAATCACACATTAGAGCACTAAACATCCATGAAAACTATTTTAGAAGAATATTTAATGACATGAAAGTTCAAGAATATCTATAAATCTATGTCTATAATATATATTTATGTGTGAAAAAGCAGATATTGAAACAGTATATACAATAATTTCACATATATATCATAAAAATACGGGGCAGATACAGATGAAAATGTTTCAGGAATGTATAAGTAATCATCAGAAACGATTACGGGTGACATTAATTTTTCTCTGTTAACTTGTCTGCTTCGTGATTATTTTTTTTTTCCTGCAATGACGCTGAATTACTTTTCTGACAAAAGGGAAGAGGACAGGAAGTGGGCACAGAGGAAGGGGGTATTAAACAGTGTTGGATTGCAGCAGAACCACCGAAGACAGCGAAATACCCTTTGCAGCCCGACAAGCTGGCCAAGACACACACACAGACACACACACGCACGCACACACACAGGCACACACGCACACATGCACACACACATACCATCAATTACGGTGACCAAGAGACTATGCAGGGGAAACGGGCATACTCTTTACTAGCTGCGCTGGCCAGCACGAGTGCAAATCGGTACAATGCTTATGAAGAGGGCCTTTTGGCAACACACAGGAAAAGTCTTTAAAATGTCTCTATGTGGATCTTGCAAGTCCACAGTTAAGGAGACCACCGCACCGGGATGCTAGCAAAGATTTGGCTTGACAAGGAAGGATTCACTCATCAAAGCACAGAGCACGCAATGTTGGTCTTAAACACAGGGAAAGAACTAGGCACCACCTGAATGTCCAACAATGTGGGAATGATTACAGAAATGTTAAGGTCCACGGATACACTGGAGCACTCTGCAGGCACTGAAGATGACGTTTCATAAGCCTGTTGATAACATGGAAAGAAGTACAATGGGTTGATTTTTGTTTGGTTTTAGTTGCTGAAAAGCAGGTTAAGAAACACCACATACATGAACCATTCTATAACAGTGTGTTAAAAGGGAAGGCGGGGTGGGGGTGAGCAAAGGAGAGAGAGGGAGAGAAGAGAGCCTGGAAAAGCAGCACACCAAAAAGGTAAAAGTGGTTCTCTCTGGGGAGTAGGACCAGGGGAGCAATTACTCTCTTGTTTCTTCCCTCATCTAACATCCTTCTCCTTTCTGATGTTTCTACCATGAAATGGTATCACCTGTGCAGTAAACAAAGAGAGAATGAAAATACTTTTTAAACCAAACCACAGGGAGGAGAGGCAGCCTTTAACCTACAAATGGCACAGATTAGTAAGATTATTCACAACGCCCTTGGTAGGGGTGGGCGGGGGAGAGGAAGGGAAGGAGAGGAGAGGTGGCGAGAGAAAATAGGAAGGGGGGAGCAGAGAGGGGGAGAGAGAGAGAGACCTGCACTCCCAATACAATAAATACACTGCTGGTGGGTTGGCGGGGGAGGGCTGGGGGTGGGGGGTTGTAAACCGGGTGTGAACCAAGGTTTGGCTCTGCTGGCTGGCTAGCTCCTGGGATGTCTTCATCGCAAGGTGGCCTCCTCGTCGGTGTCTTCCTCGAAATCCTTGACGTCAGCACTAGTGGACTGCCTGGCCCAGGCTCCCCTTTCGGCCTCTCGTTCTTTATGCGACTTGAATCTCCCGACGAAAATTTTGCGGTAGTTCAGGAACATGCCATTCATCACGTCGATGGCCCGCTCCGCGGATTCCTGCTTTTGGAAGTGCACGAACCCGTAGCCCTTGGGCCCCTTTTCGTCACAGGCCACTTTGCAGGAAAGGATGTTGCCGAACGCCGAGAAGATGTTGTACAGCGCCTTGTTGTCGATGGTCTTGCCCAGGTTCTTGATGAAGACGTTGCCCACCCCGCTCTTGCGGAGCGACGGGTCCCTCTGGGACCACATGATGCGCACTGGCCTGCCCTTTATGACATCAAAGTTCAGGGTCTCCAGGGCCCGCTTGGCGTCCACCGGTTGCTGGTAGTTGACATATGCGTAGCCCAATGAGCGGCGGGTGATCTTGTCCCTGCAGATGCGGATGGAGAGGATGGGCCCAGCTGGACTGAATTTCTCGTACAGCATTGCCTCGGTCACCTCAGGGTGCAGGTCGCCCACGTACAGGGAGGCCATCGGAAAATCTGGGTTCCCCTCACAGCCCCCGCGGGTCTCAGCATCCGCATCTGCATCGGCGGCGGCCGCCGCAGACGCCACAGCGGCCGCCACCCCCTCATTCGCATTCGCATTCGCATTCGCATCCGCATCCGCATCCGCCTCCGCCTCCGCCTCCCCCAAGGGGGTCCCCGCAGCCTCCGCTGCGGCGGCGGCTTCGGCCGCGCTGCCCTCCGACACCGCCACCGCCACCCCCGTTGCCGCCCGGGCGACCTCCGCCTCCCCCAGGGTGGCCTCGGATGCTGCCTCCTCTATTGAGGCCTCGGCCTCCACCTCAGCCTCCACCTCTGCTTCCGCCTCCGCCACGGAGGCCTTCTCGCCACGTTGGGCCTCTGCCACGGTTCGGCCCCGCCAGCCTCCGCGCCCGCCGCCGCAGGCGCTGCCGCCACCGGCGCCCCATCGTGTCGGCTTGCCCTGTCGCCACGGTGCCGCTGCTGCGGCCGTGCCCGGCGACCTCCTTTCCCACCGAGCTTGGGGGACGGAGAGGCGGGGTGGGAGGGCAGGAAGGCGGTGGGTGCCGGAACCCAGGCCCCGATCGCAATGCGGTGACGCGCGCAGGGAACCGAACTGGGGCGAGTTCAAGTCACCTGGGATGGCCAAGGTGTTGGCCGAGGAGCGCGCCGGTGCGCGAGTCGCAGCAGCCTGCAGCCATGGCTGCTGTTGCCGCGCCGCTCGGTCGTTGGGCTAGCGCGCAGGGTGCGGGTGCGGGCGGGCAGGCGGCGTGTGTGGGGCGGGCGGCGGTGGGGTTGGCCGTCTGCTTCGTCCGGGCAGTTGGGAAGGCTTCTGTCTCTTTGTTGGTTCCCCCTGTGGCTGCTGCGGGCGCGGGGCCGCGGCGGGTGGAGAGGACGCCAGCAGGAGAGGGGCGGGGGGCGGAGCTGGGACGGGAGTGCTCGCCCACTCGGGTCGCCTGGATTATTTATGAAAAGGGCGCCAGGGAAAGGGCTGCGCCTGTAGAACCGAAGGGACTAAGGGTTCGATTGGAAGGGAGCGTTATTTGTATCTCTCTCCACATAATGGAACGTTTAAATGATTAAATCAAGTACCTTGCAGGAGAGGGTGGGGTTGGCCTTGAGGATACACTCAAGGCTTCAGGACATGCAGTCTGGAAGTGGGGAATCAAGAGCACCCTGTCTCTGAGTACTGTCCTCAATGATAAGGTGAGGAAAGCCAAACCCAGGGCTGGGAACAGGGCCTGGTCCGGAGCCAGGCACTTGTTTATCTTGGCTCTGCTCTCAAGGCGCTGAGGTTCCCAACCTGGACCAAGAAGTACATATTCAGGTTCAAAAGATAAACCAAAACAAAACCTGAGCTCCTCTTCTAGAATGAGTGCCTGGTCCCAGATCACCAGCTAATATTTATGGAAAGCTTATCAGGTACTTGGTACTGGGGCTAAGGGGCCCACAAGTTGTTAAGTGAGCAGGGAGTGTCGATGTGTTGGGAGGTGTGGAGCAGGGTGAGAAGAGGTGAGCAGATGTGTGTGTGGTGAGAGCAGAGAGGCCACACAGAGCCAGATGCTGGGCGTATAGACAAGGGAGCCACCATGAGAGCTGAGTGTAACAGAAGCTACAGTCCTGCTTCCTCCAGAAAGGAGAACCAACCCCTAACTCTTCTTGGTAGCAATTAAGTGAGGCTGCACCAAAGACAGAACCCCCGAGGTGGGCTCTGAAACATGAGGAGCAGTTCACCATGTCAAGGCAGGAAGGAAGGCATTCCTGGCAGAGGGATCAGTCTGTGCCCACAGCCCTTTGTCATGAGAGCACATGCTTGGTCGCTTCTGGCCATGCCTAATAATCTGGCAGGGCCAGAGCTCATGGTCTCCAAGAGTACATGGTAGCAGACAGGGCTGGAAGGTGTGGGACCCTGAGAGTCAAGCTAAGGTGCTTCGACTGTATACCCAAGGTCACAGGGACCACTCAGCGTGTTCAAGGAGGGAAGCAGTATGATCAGAACTTTAGAATGAGTACAAATTAAACATCAATGTGCATGTATAAGGGCACATTTACACGTACACGCACGTACAAAACCAAGACAGGGCTGACAGAACACAAGGAAGAAAGTCAGATGTGACCAATTCAAAAAGAGTCTGAACAATCCTTCCCTCTGTCCCTTTTCATTCCATAAAGATGGGTCTCACATTTACCGTGAGCCAGTGGGGCCAGATATTTAAAAAGAGAAAACCATAGTGCCTTCCCTCAGGATGCCTGCACTCTGCTAAAGCTCAGCCTGCCCCCACAGAAAACAGAAGTGTCAGCAGAGGACTGTAAGTGCTATGTGATTGGACTATGGTGGCCATGGAATTTCACCTGCCCGGCACATATTCTCTCATCCTCTCCTCCTCTGCCTTGTTTGGGTAAGTAAAGCCGTGTTCTGTGGTTGCAGTGATGGCTGGATCTTGTCCGTCATACATGATAGAACAACCGTGAACCTGAGGAAGTGACTGAGTCACTGTGGGGTGCGAGGCACTGAGAACTCTTCATCGCTGGCTGGAAAGCATCCCAAGGTGGCTGAGAAGCAGATACACAGACATGTACCTCTCCAGCTTGCAAAGTCCAGCTCTCTGCCTATAGGCAGGGCTAGAGCCAGCAAAGGCAAGGGACAGAGACCTAGGAAAAGCCTGCTGTACAGCGCATGCCTGACCAAGGTGATCACTGTCACTGCTGTTAAGAGCCATCTCCTGGGGGTCTAGGTTGCTTGCAGGCAGGGAACAGATGAAGCTGTGCCTCACCATTTCCAGGTTGGTGTCCAAGAGGGACCTGAGAAGGCAGAGGCCAAGGGGGAAGCCATGCTCGCAGAGGGGTAGGGGATGTGGCGAGGATGAGAAGAGCTTCTCGGCCCATTGTTAGGAAACAGAAATGACAAGGAAGACCAAGTCGAGGACCAGGACTCAACAAGATCTCCTTCTCTGGTGTTGGTTTCCAGTACACAGAGCCAACAGAAATCAGTGAAACAGCAGGAGAAGGAAGTTCAGGGAAGTCATGCTATGGCTAGCAAATCCCCAAACCTGAAAACAATTCCTAGGATCCTGAAGCTCTAGCAACAGGAACAGGGCTACCAAAGAGACAAGGACACAGCTGGGACTGCTCCCCAAGTCCTTTCTCAGGGGCTTCCATGGAGTCGAGTTTCCACCTCCCTTTTGTTTTTTATTTTTAAAGTTACTTTGTGGTCAGTTTCTGCCACCTGCAAATGGAATGTGTTCTGACCACTACACACTGTGACAGGGGCAAAAATAAAGAACCCTGTGGAGCCTCAACAGAGGGAGGGGAAGTTTCCTTTCTTGTGGGAGGAAGTGCTGCTGATTTTATTTATTCAGTGATTCAAGAAATATTCCTGGAGGGTCTTCTATGTACCGAGTATTCTGCCAGCCAGACTGTCCCTGCACTCAGGGAGCTCATTTTCTAGTGGGGAGACAGACAATGGACAGATGAGGGAATATGAAAACAGTTAAAGGTTGCTGTGAATGCTCTCGGGCATGTAAACAAGGTGATTTGGTACATATTGCCTAGAACCCCAGAAAAGTGGCAAAACGGGAGACACGAAGCTCAGGGAAGGCCTTTCTGAGGACAATGATGAGCCGCCAGTCTTTCAAGGAACCAAGGGGGAAACCTGCCCAGCAGAGGGAACAGCAATTCCCCTGGCCCTGTGGCAGAAAAGAGAGGGTGCTGGGGGTGGGAGTGGGGGCAGAAAGGGTGCCAATGTTGCATGGAGCCCAGTGTGAGAGGGGATAGAGGAAAGAAAGGGAGGAAGGTGCGGTGGTGGGTGGTGCCATGATGAAGAGTCTGGTTCTTCTTTAGAGGGCTCAGGAGAGCCAGAGAAAGGATTGAAGCAGGTAGTAGCATAATCTAATGCTTATTGAGTGGTTTCTCTCTAGCCCTTCTGTGTGGGCAATATCACAAGTGGGCAGGGCACAAAGGAAAGCAGGGAGACCAGTTAGGAGGCTCTTGCAGTAGTCCAGTCCAGAGAGAGCAGGGGCTTGTCCCAGACTGGAAGCCTCAATGTGGAGACTAGTGCATGGATTCACATGGTGTTTTGGAAGTGGAAGAGACAGCACTTGCGAGTGGATTAGAGGCAACCAGGGAACAAACTTAAGAAATGAACGATTACTACGAGAGTGTTTTCTTGGACATCCTCATCAGAGGTCTATGTACGGTCATAGGAAAGACAGAGAGTGGGCATGGTAGATTTGGAGAAGGCAGAAAGATAGATGGGTGTGTGTGTCAAGAACTCCTATTTGCACAGGTTTAGTTACTGAAGTCTGCTTGTCATCCATAGAGGCTGGAGAAACAGAATTGTTGAGACAACAGGACACAGTTAGGGTTTAAAGTCACAAAACTGAATAGGATCACCCAGAGAGAGTATAGCCAGGAGAAGAAGGTACAGGGCTACTCCCTGAGATACTCTGACATTTAGAAGTTGGGTGGGGAACACAAGCCAGCAAAGGAGATTCAGAAGGACTGGACAGTGAACAGGACTCCTCTCTAAGGCCTTGCATGTCCAAACGTGTCTAAACTTCTCGCCAAGGCTTTTCATCGCCAGCCTCAATGTCCTCATTGAGACTCTGCTCTCAATGCTCCTAGCTGTACATGCATGGGAGTTGGTTTAAAATGGGACAACAACAACTTTGTGTGCTTGGGTTTGGACTTCGCCTGCTGATAATTTCTCAGTGGAGCTTTCAAAAGAGAGAGAGGTTCAGATGCAGAGAACTTCAAAGAGTGGGGTAGGCACTGCTATTTCATGTGGCCCATCTCCCTTTTCCTTTCAGGAGGGAGAAATCAGAAGGAGTGGGAATGCAGTTCAGAGAGCAGAGGAGAAGAGAAGAAAAGAAGGAAGAAGGAAGAGGACTGGGGGTGGGTGGGGGGGAGGACACCAATGGGAAGAGGGACAGATCAACTCTACACACAAAAGTAAATCAAAACACCAAAAACAGGGGTCTATGTAAGGAAGCCTCTGCCCATGAATTGCTCGTTGCATAGCTGCAGGGAGGGTGTTTGGGGGCATAGAGAATGAAAACACCTGTATTTTGGTGTAGGGAAATTGTTTCTGTCAATTCACACCGTCCACACGCCACCTCCCACCCCAACCCCACCACTACCAAATTCCTCTAAATAAAAATAATTATGAGATACAGGCCAACAAAAACCGTCAGCCTTAGGCTGTTATTTAGGGAGAATTGGAAAGCGTTTGGATATGCCCCTGTTGTTTAATAAATGACAACAATGATTACTAAGTTGTCCTGAGTCAATACAACAAATTTAGCAAACGGTCCTTTGGGTCCTTATAAAGTGAAGAGTTGACGGAGACAGATTTGTATATGGGGCAGGGATGGAATGGTAGTGAGTCCTGGAGAAATAAGAACCCCAGGACATGATGAAATATGTACAAGTGTGTTTATCACAGAAACATTCATATTGGGCAAATTAGGGCACAGAGCAAGTATGCATCAGTTGAGGAATGACTGATACATTGGCAGTGCAGCCATTCTGAGGATTATTATACAACCATTAACAAGTATGAGTTATATCTATATAAGCAGATTTAAGGGGATTTCCAGAATGTGCTACTACCAGGCGAGAAAAGCAGGTTTGTTTTCGTCATTTTGGTGCAAACAAAAGGAGATGGGCCTTGGAGCCAGATTGGCTGGTAAGCTGAATTTCAGAGCAAAACACTTAACCACTCTTGAGCCTCTGTGTGTGCTCAGAGTTTGAATTTCAGAAACCTTAATTAAGCATCTTACAAATTTCCTTTGTAACAAGTAGTTTTGCCCCAGCTCTGCTTAGAAACCGAGCCAAAGGGCTGTATTGACTGATGGTTTTTACACAGCATTGCAGATATTTTTCTCTCTGAGAACCAATTCACCTTCTAACACACGCTTAAAGCTTTAACTCATGCCCTTCCTTGTTATAATTTTAGGCAATTCACAGAACTGATTTTATAACAATATACCTACAGATACACCCCAGGCCGTGACTTAATAGTTGTGCTTACTTTGGTCAAGGTACTTTACCCCCTTTTTTTCCATCTTGGCTTTGGAGTCCTCATCTGTAGAAAGGGATATTTATAAGGATAACAAGTGATAATGTATGGTAAATGTTTTTCACAGTGCCTGACATGCATTCAATGCCCAATACAAGAGACTCCTTATTAATCTTATTGCCCTCTGTCCTGGGGATGTGCTTGTTCAGCTGGTTTTTGAAGGTCCAGTGTCTTGTCTTTCTGGTGCTCCAGGCAGCCTGAAATTTTCTCTCTAACCAGGAGCAAAGTGTCAGTACAGAGGGAGTCTGATCCTCTGGGTTCTCTGGCCTGAACTCGCTTAGCTCACACTCTCGTTGAGCTTTTCCGTGCTAGTCCCAACCACAGGACCTTTTTATGATCCACTTACTTATTTTCTGGAGGCCCAGGGTCTTGCACATTAATTAACACATGAAAGCATGGCATTTTCTGTACTCAAGGAAACCACCCAGAAGATTTAATAACATGATCTCAACAAAAATGGGATATTGAGATGGGAGAGAATTTTCTGTCAACTGCTATTCATCCTTTTGAGCAACATCTTGGGGGCCATTTGAGAGGTAATTTACTGTAAGGTAATATACTCCTTCAGCTTCTTTGCTACAGGCTACCGAACACACTTTGATGTCTCCATGATGTCTCTGGAACAATATTACCAATATTCACCATTGTGATGGGATGCATTCATGGATTACTGAAGCGTGAGTTGGCTGATATCCAGTATCGTGAGCTGCTGATCAATTTTAGGTTTTCACTTTGTTTAATAGATGTAAAATGAAATCTCCTTCGATGTGGTAAAATCTTGCTAATGTCAAGGTGATTAACTTTGGAACTTCCTCCCATACAGATCATCTTTTTAGAACTGTCTCCAAATAATTGTTCTTAATTTAAATACACACACACACATATATATATATATGCATGGTAAATATAATAGGGATGATCAGAAAGTACAAAGGAGCTTATGATGAAAAGCAAAGATTCAAGGTCCCATCATTTCCTGCTCTCCAACTGTGCTTCCCAGAGTAGACCACTTTTAACAATTTCTGTTTGCAGTGTTCTGACCATTACCTCCTTATATCTAAAGAAAATGCCTAATCTGCTAATTCAATAATTCACCAACTTCAGACATCATCAAGTGACCATCCTCTACCAGAGAGGAGGATTTAACTCACTCACACTATCTTCAATCTGCCCTCTCTTTCTTTCTGGCAATTTTTATATCTTTTGATCTTTAGTTCTTCTGTTGGTGACTCTAGTAACTTTAAGTGATATGCTTAACTCTCAGTTTCTAGCATACACCTTCGTCAGTTTCCCATAAAATAAGGATATTAGCACCCCTCCCCTTCCCTTAGCCTCTCCTCCATCTTTCTATATCCTCTTTTCCAAACAGACTGCTGTTCATTGACATCCACTTCTGAAACCTTAATTGAGTTATTTGAGCTTTGAAAAGCAACACAAGCCTTTTACCTTTTAATGAATCTCTAATAATGTTGGCCACAAGGGCCACATTTCTTGACACTTTAAGGTGGGCCACTAGAGGGCGGTTAATCCTGGTATCAAGCTTGAATCCTTTCTTTTACTGGATTTTATGAACTCCTGAAAGATATGCCACATTTGAGGGTTTTTTTTTTTAAGTTTATTCATTAAGTATTTTTTTTAATTTTTTGTTGGTACTTAGCAGGTGTATATATTTATGGGGTACATGAGATGTTTTGATAAAGACATTTAATGTGAAACAAGCACATCATGGAGAATGCAGTAACAGTCCCCTCCAGTGTTTATCCTTTGTTTTACAAGCAATCCAGTTACACTCTTTTAGTCATTTTAACATGTACAATTAAGTTGTTATTGACTGTAGTCATCCTGTTTTGCTATCAGTAGTGTGTCTCATCCATTCTTTCTATTTTTTTATGTACTTATTAACCATCCCCACCTCACTCGCCAACACCCCACTAGTTTTCCAGCCTCTGGTAACCATCTTTCTACTCTCTATGCCATGAGTTGAACTGCTTTCGTTTTTATATCCCACAAATATGTGAGAATATGCGATGTTTGTCTTTCTGTGCCTGGCTTATTTCATGTAACATAGTGATATCCAGTTCCACCCATGTTGCTGCAAATGAGTGGATCTCATTCTTTCTTGTGGCTGAATATTACTCAATTGTGTATATATACCATGTTTTCTTTATCCATTCATCTGTTGGTGGACACTTAGGTTGCTTCCAAATCTTAGCTATTGTAAACAGTGCTGCAACAAACATAGGAATGCAGATATCTCTTCACTTTACTGATTTCCTTTCTTTTTGGTATATACTCAACAGTGGGGTTGCTGGATCATATGGTATATCAATTTTTTGTTTTCTGAGGAACCTGCAAACAGCTTTCCATAGTGGTTTTACTAATTTACATTCCTACCAACAGTGTACAAGGGTTCCCTTTTCTCCACATCCTCGCTAGCATTTATCATTGCCTGTCTTTTGGATATAGGCCATTTTAATTGAGGTGAGATGATATTTCACCGAGGTTTTGATTTACATTTCTCTGGTGATCAGTGATGTTGAGCATCTTTTCATATGCCTGTTTGTCATTTGTATGTCTTCTTTTGAGACATGTCTATTCAGATCTTTTGCCCATTTTAATCTGATTGTTAGATTTTTTTTCCTATACAGTTTCTTGGGTTCATTATATCTTCTGGTTATTAATTCTTTCTCAGATGGATAGTTGGCAAATCCATTCTGCGTGTTGTCTCTTCGCTGTGATGATTGTTTTATTTGCTTCCAGAAGCTTTTTAACTATATGTGATCCCATTTGTTTGTTTTTTCTTTGGTTTCCCGGGCTTGTTGAGTATTACCCAAGAAATTTTTGCCCAGTCCAATGTCCTAGAGAGTTTTTCCAAAGTTTTCTTGTAGTAGTTCCATAGTTTGAAGTCTTAGATTTAAGTATTTAATCTATTTTGATTTGATTTTTGTATATAGTGAGAGAGAGGGTATGGTTTCATTCTTTTGCCTATAGATATCCAGTTTTCTTAGCACCACTTATTGAAGAGACTGTCTTTTCCCCAGTGTATGTTCTTGCCATCTTTGTCAAAAAACGAGTTATCTGTAGGTGTGTGGGTTTGTTTTTGGGTTCTCTATTCTGTTCCATTGGTATATATGTCTGTTTATATGCCAGTACCATGTTGTTTTGGTTACTGTAGCTCTGTAGTATATAATTTGGAGTCAGGTAATGTGATTCCTCCAGGTTTGTCCTTTACCTTAGGATAGTTTCGGCTATTCTGGGTCTTTTGTGGTTCCATATAAATTTTAGGATTGTTTTCTCCATTTCTGTGAAGAATGTCATTGGTATCTTGATAGGGATTGCATTGAATCTGTAGGTTATTTGGGGTAGTATGGACATTTGAACAATATTCATTATTTCAGTCCATGAGCATGGAATATCTTTTCATTTTTTTTTTTGTTGTTGTTGTTGTTGTTGTTGTCTTCTTCAATTTCCTTCATCAGTGTTTTACAGCTTTTATTATGGAGATCTTTCACTTATTTGGTTAATTCCTAGGTATTAATTTTATGTGTGGCTATCGTAAATGGGATAACTTTTACAATTTCTTTTTCACATTGCTCACTGTTGGCATACAGAAATGCTACTGATTTTTGCATGGTGATTTTGTATCCTGTAAGTTCACTGAATTTATCGGTTCTAATAGTTTTCTGGTGGAGTCTTTGGGTTTTTGCAAATATAAGATAATGTCATCAGCAAAGAAGAATACTTTGACCTTTTCCTTTCCAATTTGGATGCCCTTTATATCTTTCTCTTGTTTGATTGCTCTAGCTAGAACATCCAGTACTATGTTGAATAACAGTGGTGAAAGTGGGCATCCTTGTCATGTTCCAGATCTTAGAGGAAAGTCTTTCTGTTTTTCTCCATTCAGTATGATACTAGCTGTGGGTCTCTCATGTTTCTTTTATCTCCAGTTTTTGTGAGGGTTTTTATCATGAAGGGATATTGAATTTTATCAAATGTTTTTCAGCACCAATTCAAATGATCATATAGTTTTATCCTTCATTCTGTTGATATGATGTATCAAGGTGATTGATTTGCATATGTTGAACCATCCTCACATCCTAGGGATAAATCCAACTTAGTCATGATGAATAATCTTTCTATTGTATTGTTGAATTCAGCTTGCTAGTATTTTGTTGGGGATTTTTACCAAT